ATGGGGCATCCACAGCTTCTCTGGGCAACCTGTCCCAGTGCCTCCCCACCCTCTCCGGGAAGAATTTCTTCCCGATATCCAATCTAAACCTCCCCACTTTCCATTTAAACCCGTTACCCCTTGTCCTGTCACTGCAGGCTCTTGCAAAAAGTTCCCCCCAGCTTCCTTGTAGCCCCCCCAGGCACTGGAAGGCTGCAATAAGGTCTCCCTGGAGCCTTCCCTTCTCCAGGCTGAACAAGCCCAACTCTCCCAGCCTGTCCCCATGGCAGAGGTGCTCCAGCCCTCGGAGCATCTCCGTGGCCTCCTCTGGACTCGCTCCAAGTGGTCAATATCCTTCTGATGTTGAGGGCTCCACAGCTGGACGCAGCACTCCAGGTGGGGTCTCACCAGACCAGAGTACAGGGGCAGAATCCCCTCCCTCGCCCTGCTGGCCACACTTCTCTGGATACAGCCCAGGATACGGTTGGCTTTCTGGGCTGCCAGCGCACACGGCCGGCTCATGTTATTTAGATTATTTAGATCTATCCTGGAAGGAGAAAATTTACTGCTGGCTGAAGTGGTGCTAGATCTACCATGCTCTGAGTTACCTGCCTTTCACATATGCTGCCTGTTTGTCTGCCACCATGCAATGTGCTCCCAGAAATGCTTTGTGCTTTATTTTTCCACTCCCGTTTCCAAAGCTGTATGTTGTGCTCAGCACTGTTTCTCATGGAAGGACAGACCTACTTCTGAAACTGCTTTATAGCCACTGATGTCATGGATAGAAGTTATTAATGGTATCATTGCACTGATTCTCAGACAGTTGTCCCTTTGTTTCAAATAATAAATGAGTTTTTACTTTTGAGCCAAATGTATATAGGCAGAATTGTTTTCTGTAACTGGAGTTGAGGAGAAGTGGTAGGATATTAAGACTGTACATAAGTGAAATGTTTTTCTTTGCTAGAAACCTGGTTTTGAATCTAACAATGCATTGTCTGTGAATATAAATAGAGAGGAACTGTGAATGTCATGGTGATAGAATTCTACCTCCCTTTATTTGCTGTCATCCCATTTTTTTTTTTTTGATTATGTGCCTTATTAAAAATGTCAAGGTTTCCAAGACGTTATCTAATGGGTCAACAGCTTTTTCATACAATCACCATAAGATGATTCTGTTCACATTTTTCAGATCAACAAATCCAGCAGAATGAAAGACTCTCAGATGCTGTTTGGCAAGTCTAGAACCAGGGACACATTCCAGGATCATAACAGTGACAATCTATCATCCTCCTCATCCTCCTCTGGGCAGGGGATCCCCAAAATGCTGAGGTGGAGGTGTAGGCTTCCCTAGGAGCTCAGGTGGAGTCTGGAAGCCTGAAGCCAAACACGGAACATCATGGGTGGCCCTAGGGCCTGCAAGGCTCATAGAAAACCCAGCAGCGAGTCGAGAAAACATGTTACATACAGTGAAGCTACCACTGGGCATGCAAACATTCTGCAATTACCATACACCTCAACATCTGTGTTCTGCTGTCACAGAATGGTTTGGGTGGGAAGGGGCCTTAAAGACCATCCAGTTGCAACCCCCCTGCCATGGGCAGGGACACCTTCCACTAGACCAGGTTGCTCCACGCCTCATCCAGCCTGGCCTTGGACACTTCCAGTGATCCACCACTTCTCTGGGCAACCAGTCCCAGTGCCTCCCCACCCTCTCTGGGAAGAACTTCTTCCTGATATCCAGTCTAAACCTCCCCACTTTCAATTTAAACCCATTACCCCTTGTCCCGTCACTACAGGCCCTTGTAAAAAGTCCCCCCCAGTTTCCTTGTAGCCCCTTCAGGCACTGGAAGGTGCAATAAGGTCTCCCCGGAGCCTTCTCTTCTCCAGGCTGAACAAGCCCAACTCTCTCAGCCTGTCCCCATGGCAGAGGGGCTCCAGCCCTCGGAGCATCTTCGTGGCCTCCTCTGGACTTGCTCCAACCGGTTGATACCCTTCTACTAGTTCCAGCCTGTAAAGGTGGCTGTCTACAGAGAATCATAGAATTGTTTTGGTTGGGGAAGACCTTTAAGATCACTGAGTCCAACCACCAAATCTACACGGAGATAGTGTAATAAAATCAAATCACAACTGAGAAGTGCATCTGTAACTGCACCGTGACAGAAGGTACCATCAAGGATTCTTAGTTTGTTTTCTTGGCGATTCCTGCATCGAATGTGCTCAGTCTGCCATTTTTCCCCTAGAGCTCAGGCAAGCTTTCGCTGTCCTTTGATAATGAGGCTGGTTTCATTTATCACCAATAGTAATGAGGAGAAATTATGCCCCCCATGACACCTTAGCAATCAAACTGCCATAACTGACTGATGATCTCCGTGTTATTGATGGTGCGTAGGAAAGGACAAGACCTACTTTTCTCCTGCTCACCATCGGTCTCTATGACTGACAAGGATAGAGGGCAAGAAAGAGTTATTTTAAGCACTTGAGTCAGCCGGCATGTTTCTGAATAAACAGAGCAGACATTTCTAATGGGAAAGCACTCTATTTATGTGGTCACTTTTCAGAGTAAAACTGCACTTTAAGTCTAGGTTTATTCTTCTAAATAATGGTGCTGGTGTGTGTTGGTGCTCTTGGTGTAATTCTAGAGAAACTGCAGATTCAACAGGCTGTTTTATAAAGCTTTGGTCTTCAGTTATATTTCACTGGGTTTTAATGTAGTTAAATAAAGTTCAATAAAATAAAGTGCATGTAATATGCTAATTTTAGTCATCCTGTTATTAACCAAATCTGCTCTCTGATGACTGCATAATTTTTAATTGGGTAGAATGATGTCAGTACAGTTTTGTCTACACAAAACAGAACATTGTTCAAAAATCACACAGACTGCTGAATGTGGGTCTTTTGTTTTACCAGTGGATCCAGAAACCTGCCTCTTACAACACTAGACGTAAGCACACACTGACAATCTACTGTTCCAACCAATTAGAGATTTCAGCATCACAGCCAGCGATGTGGCCTGTTCAAAAATGTTAGACAGCTGTAACTTTCAAGGGTGGACAAGATCTAAAAGAGAATCTATATACTTGAGAAAGTAAGGTTTGTGAATAATGCAGCTCACTGAACTTCTTTATGTAAGAGTTATAATGCATTTACAGATTTCTACAAAAAAATAATGAGGCTTTTTTTACACCACTGCATTTGGTTCTGCTCTATTAAGAGAACACAGGGCCCTTACTGCAACAGCAGCAGGGACCGCTTTATCTCTTTCTGTACTGAGGCCACATCCTTAATGGAACGTGTCAGATGCTCAATGCTGCCCAGCAATTAAGATGGGAATGGGAAAAAAATCCACAAAAAGACAATTGTGAATTTGGAAGGGAGAAAGAAACAAAACGACCATAGGATGTGGCCAGGGCACTGGGCAGTTCTTAGGGAAGGTTCCCTAGGCCATGCTTTGGCTCAGCCTTTACGCAGTAACCCAATTACCTTTTGTCTTAGTTTGAGATTAAGTACTGATTTACAGAAAGAAGCACCACATCCTAGACAATCTGCATAATCTTAATTTTAAATAAAATGTTATATCCAGGCTTTTACACAGGACTTACCCGAGTACTTACTCTTTACTTGGAAAAGTCAGTAGTATTGCAACAGTGCTTTACTACCACAGCCTCGTAATAACAAATTATGGGTGAAATGTTACTATTTGAGTCCAGGGGAACAATTTTCATTTCTCTGTGCCATTCCCAGTTTAGCGTAGGTTAGAGAACAATATCCATCTACAAACAGGAAACAAGCTCTGACGTCCTGATTTCCTACTCTGTGAGTCATATAGGTCAAACTGTCAGCTCCAAAAATGTACCTAAAGTTCAGGGTAACTTAATTTTCTCTACAAAATATTATATTTTTATTCAGTCTAACTCAAGTCAGTAACTACACAAATGTAGTAACTCTAGGTGAGTTTTTCCATTCAAGATTCAGAATACCAAATTCCCTTTTTACTATGGTGGCAACGCAGTTAAGATTTCCTTTGCCTATCGATTTGGGGGTTTTATTTTAATGTAGCTTTCACTGTGGTGCTCATGACTGTCCCATCTGACCACTTAAAATGTGGGATTATCCTAATGCTCAGAACATATATGTGACTTTGGGAATGATTTTTTTTCCCCATTTTACCGATGAGGAAACTGAAGTATGGTGGAGTCACCATCCCTGGAGGTGTTCAAGGAACACGTAGACATGGTGCTTGGGGGCATGGTCTAGTGGGTAGGGGAGTGTTGGGTTGGTGGTTGGACTGGATGATCTTACAGCGCTTTTCCAACCTCTGTGATTCAGTGATTCTGCATGAAGTAATCTACCTCTCCTGTACTTAGCAATTCTAGAGTGCCTAGTTGTTCTGTATTATTAAATTCATATTTCTCACTTGGTGAATTGTAACAATAAGGCATACGCTTTGCTAAAAGTAATCACAGATGGAAGAACTGCAAGAGATTGGAGAACTATGTATTCCTATAGGAAGTAAAATCTCACTTCCAAATTCCTTATATATCCCTTCTCTTCTAAGTCCAGCATTCTTCATTGACTTTTCAAAACACACTGCTGGGTCATCACTTCAGAGATTTCTTTCATTTCTTTGCTGAACATAAAGTCCAACACTGCAGCTTCCTTGCTGCATCCTGTGCTCTGTCTACACCCTGTATGCTCTGCCACAACGTATAGCATCTAGTAAATCTGTCCATAATTCCCTTTAAATTACACAAGATGAACAGAAACGGTTTACATCAGCTGCTGGTTCGCACTGCGACTCTTGGGCTATTAACATTTGCTCCACACAGCTTTCAGAAGCTGTGAACTTTTCCCTCCAGTGCCGCTGAAGCTGATCTACAGACACCCTCTCACCTACTGCTCAGCAACAGGGCCCTTCCCCTCCATCAGAGAGGCTCTGGGGTGTAATCCCACCCCCAGTCTTCCTCATATAAGGTCTAGTTGGAAAACTACTTCTTCATTTTTGCTTTTTGGTTAGAGCTTGACTGTAACTTCTTGCTGCAGTCTGGCAATGCCTGTGGATTTCAGCGGAACCTGGAACCTCATCAGCAATGACAACTTTGAAGGTTACATGGTGGCCTTAGGTAGGTGAAAATACCCGATTCTATCCTTCCTCCTTTTCCCCTTAAGTGTCTTCCTGAATTTTAAGAGTCTGAGTTCTACTAAAACCTAGATATCGCTGAAGCTTTCTTCCCCTCTGGGAAATAATATAAATATATTTGTTTATTGATAAACAGACAGCATTAGCTATAATTCTGCCCATCACCCAAGTGTCCTTGCAGCTTTCAGGAATTTCTCAGTCTAGGACTTGTAAGAAGTAGAATTTTTGTATAGCTTTTATCAGAGACAAGGAAGAATTTGCCTTGTCTGCTCTACTTCTCTTGGTTTTGAGCACAAACTTATAGAACCTATGTTTGTGGTTAAATAACAAAAAAAGTGCTTAGGTATTTGCCACTGCCACGCAGTTGTTTAGCTTAGTGTCATCTTTAAACAGCTTACAAAATAGTTCTTTCATTACTGTGACTTGTTGATGAGTCTCTCTAACGGTCCCTTTTCTGAAGTGCTTGAAGCTAGCCTCTACCTTCCTCAGATCTTTCATAGAGAGAGATTAACAGTGCTTTAATAGGGAGCTGAGAAAGTTCTCGGTGCTTTATTAGCCGCCTTCTACAAAGCTCCTTACAGCCTGTGACAGCAGGCAACCCCCATGCTGCCTTCTCTTCTCCCTGCCTCTCCCACCCCTTTCTGACTTGTGTGAACTGCTTATGAGCAGCATCCCTTCCTGATTATTGTATACACAACCAGAATGATATCTGTTTTCTGGCTGTAGCTGTGCTGGGTGACTTGGCTGCTTCAGTTGTCTAGTTGGTATCTTTAACGTGGTGAAAGAAGTTTTCTCTGCTTCTAATCCTGCTGTGTCAAAAATTAGAAAAAAAGGAAAGGATGGTCCCATAATGAGAATTTATTCCTCAGTCTGAATATTAATATACTCCTAATGTCTTAATGTCTTCAAGTGGAATAGAGATTCTGTCTGTCCCTTGATAACACTGTCCAGCTAAGTAAAAGGCTTTTTAAATGAAACATAATGACTACTCTTGTGAAAAATACAATTTGTTTTCAGCATGTAACTGGGGGAACTTACTTAAGTGAAGCCTGTTGAAGATTTACAAACTATCTTTAATTACTACTGTTTGGCTGCCCTCATACTGAACAAAACAAGGGGGGAAAATCACTGTTGTAGAGCTAGAATGAAAACTTTTCTGCCGGGGTAAGTAGAGTGAGGAGATTAACATCCTATCAGCTGAGTAACTAGAGAGTTACAGAGAAAGACATGGCTATTCCAAGCCTCGCACTTCCTTCCGTTTGATATCTACCTCTAAAGGCCAGATTTGTATTTAAACATTCTTATAACCATGTTAAAGCTTTATGGGTACAGCTGTTGCCAGTACTGAATTCAAACCCCTCTATGCTAAATAAACTGGTAACCATGTAAAACCGTGACTGACAGATTCTGGCACTTCTGTAACGCGTACAGTAATGAAGTCCCACTTCCAGCAGACTGCATAAAGAGCCATACGGTTCCACACATGGTGGCTGAACACACCCTGTCAGGGAGATCACTACTCCAGCCTGCATGAAATGAGAAACTTCTAATGGTCCTATAAAATGACACTTTTAATCTAGGTGACGAAAACAACTAAATTAATACACAAGCCCCCATTTTACCCATCCCCCTTCCTGAAAACCCAACTCTGAGCATGCTGTTGGGATGCGATGTAATTCAGTTGCCTGCCAAATCAATGGCTGTTCCTCTAAAGAGGAACTAGAGAAATAGGAAAAAAAACCCAAACCCACCCTATAAGCACTCCTTTAAGCTCAGTTTTACCAAGAATATCAGGATTCTGTTAAATCTGATCATTACAGATAATCAGGAAATCTTCTGACAAGTGTGATGTTTTCTAGTTACACTGAAAAAATGTTATAGCAACTGGCATGTCCTGAAAACAAGCCTGACTAATTCATTTTAGGACTGTCCTTCATTTTACCCTATCATATAGGGTACCAAGATTTCTTGTTAATTCACGTAATGACTTTCCTCTGCCAAAGGATGAGAACAGGCGTTAACTATTCCCTCTAGCAAACCAGGTGGTAAGTTTGAGACCAAGCTTGGGGTGCCTGTGTGGGGGAAAGCAGCTCTGCCCCACTCCCTGAAGAGTTATTCTGACTCAAAGTCCTAGTAATCTTGCATAGGAATTGTGCAATGATTGGGTAAACTGGTTTCCAAAGAGTAAAATGTACAAGAACATGACTTGATCTGTGTAACATACAGCTTTAAACAAAAGCAACGACCAAAAAAAAAAAATCAAAAACCCAAAACCTTGCACAGCAGAAAGGTCAAACTATACAAGGAATGCTTCTAGTAGTAATAAAGGTAAGTCCTGGCTGTCAGAATAGCTGGTGGCAAATATAACTCTGACCTCTTTGCCTCCTGTCCAAGGTATTGACTTTGCAACACGCAAGATAGCAAAAATGCTGAAGCCTCAGAAAGTGATCAAACAAGACGGTGATTCGTTTTATATCCACACCACTAGCACATTCAGAGATTACGCGCTTCAATTCAAAATTGGCGAAGAGTTTGAAGAAGATAATAAAGGCCTGGATAACAGAAAATGCAAGGTAAGACTGAATATCTAAAATCAAGAGGCCGTGACAAAATTAAGATGCCATGATCGATCCAGCTACTGGAGCTGAAATTGTTTGAAGACTACTATTTGTTATGCAACACAGAGGTAAGAGCTTGAGTTACAGACAAGGAGTTTCACTTTCCCTCAGGAGAGGCATTTAGGTCCCCTTTGATCCAGGAAAAAGGACATTATTTACAAGTATATTGCAGAACTGAGACAGACACACTGAAAGACTTTGTTTCCTCCTCCACAGAGCCTAGTTACCTGGGAAGGTGACAAACTCGTCTGTGTCCAGACTGGTGAGAAGAAGAACAGGGGCTGGACTCACTGGCTGGAAGGAGATGACCTCCACCTGGTATTTACTAGCCTACTAGGATTTAATAGATTTCTACTAATTCTGTCTCTGTATGACAAAACCAAGATGGATAATGTGGTCATGGTGTGCACAGGTCTTCTAGCTCTGCAGTATTTTAATGGATGGTATATTGTGAGCACATTCTGCTTTTACTTTAGCTGAAACAACTTCATTGTTCCACTGTCTGGTATAGTTAAAATCAGAACGTTGAGCCTAACTCATTAGCACGGCAGCGATGTGGTGATCAGCGGTCATGGCAAAGGGCCTGTGTTCACTTTTAGAAGCGGTTCCTTTTATTACTAGGTACACCTATTGTTTTGTTTGCTTTTGTAGGAGCTTCGTTGTGAGAATCAAGTATGTAAACAGGTCTTCAAGAGAGCTTGAATACGTGTACGGGTCCCTGCATGAAGAGACGGCTGTATACAGGAGACCTCACCCTCGTGTCCAGTGCTGGCTGTACAGACAAGAACTGACTCCTCCTGTTAACCTACACGGTCTGATGTTTCTGGCTCAGGAAATAAAGTCTGCTGTTGCCAGTGTTAAAGATCTCTTTTTTTGCTAATAAATGCCCCAAACCAATATTAAGTACCTGACCTCTGAATGTGTTTGGTTTTTCTGGGGGGGCGTGGAAAACCCAACCCAAAACTTAAGTGTTCTTAAGTACCCGACCTCTGAATGTGGTTTTTTTGTGGGGGTAGGAAAAACCCAACCCAAAACTTAAGTGTTATGGCTTGGGTCTCTAGTGAACTAACAGCCTAAATCAAACCAAGAAAAAGCCTGTTCCAAGGGGGCACACCAACATCAAACAAAACAGAGGAGGAAGGATGGCAGAGAAGCGAAGATAACAAAGGAAGCAGACAACAAAGGCTACAGGAAGCGAAGATAACAGAGGAAGCAGACAACAAAGGCTACAGGTTTATTATTCAAAATGCTTCTCTTTAAGGTGCAGACTAGGAGTTGACTCCACTTGCATGTGTATTAAGTGTGTAATCCTGTATTGTGCCAGAGCTGCTTTGTTCTCGAAATAATTTTCAGCTGACCAGAGGAAGCCATCCTGTGATCAAATCCCAGAACAACTAAGATAGGTCTGAGTAATTCATGTAGATTCCAGTCACAAAAATAATTGAACTCTCTAAGCACATATACAGAGTGAAAACAAGGCTGCTTTAAGATTTATTTGCATACACCTGTTCAATTAGGTTAAATGCTTTTCTTTTTGACCTTGTGTAACATTGCATAGAAAAGTAGGTTTTCTTCTGCCTCGTGTAACCACACGTAAGTGGTCAGATCGACTTGGTAGTTACATGAGACATGAGTTGCTGCATATTGTTGGCAACACTAATATTGCAGGGGTTTTAGCACTGGTAGATAAATAGTTTGATTTAATCTAGCTTAAGCTTAGTAACTTAATTACTTTCTATGCACAAAAAAAAAAAATTCTAAAGTAATCCTTGACACTTTAAAATGTAAGGAATACCATCTCTCTGATACTTCTTGTCAGTTCAGGTATCACAGAGCTACCACCACAGGCAGACAAAATCAGTTGAAGCTTGGAGGGCTTTTTGATAATTGAACCCCGCTGTATAATTACTAGAGGACTTCATAAACTTAAGCTAGTTCCCAAAATACAAAGAAAAGAAGTAGTATTCCTTATACAGTTAGAGAAATTTGGGGGACCAGCTGTATAACGTCTGGTGTTTATTCTATGCATCCCGACAGCGTCTTCCTTCTGGAACTGAGTAATTTTCCTTTATTTGAAAACAAAGTTACTGTTGCCATATTATTCTGATATAAATAACAAATTGGTACAACAAACCTGCTCTGTCACACATTACCAACATCCAGCAACAACAGACTCCTACTCCCCTAGATGGCAGCCCTGGCACGTAGCGCAGCGCTGCCGAACTGCTGCTGTCAGGAGCCTCCACCATTTCGGGGTGCAATGGGCAGGCCCCTTCACACCCCCACAGCTCCTAAGCTGGGCACTCCACTAAGATATGCATGAAAATACAGAAAGGCAGTGATGACCGTAAGGAGACTGTTAGTACTAAGAGATGCCAAGTAGCCATCAGAAAAATGCAACCTTGGAATCCTGTATGACTAGAAGTGTAATAATTCATTAGTAAGGCTGTTATTAAGCCCTTACTTCCATAAATACAGAAGAATTATTATCAATACTGATACTACCTTTCTTATTGCTACCTTCCAACTTCAAATTGGCGATCGGAAAGCAGGTAATGCCATGCAGAACTCGCTTGAAGATCCTTTGGAGATATGGGGGATGAGAGAAGCTACTACAGTGACAAAATTGTTTATCCTAATTTCATTTATATGCTAACCAATTGACACACCTTCACAAAATACAAAATAAACCTCTTGAAATACAAGGTGAAAGAAGAAAGGGAGCAGTCACATGTTCTGGAAGTGGAGAAAACCAAAAAGGTATTACGATAGCCTTTACCAAGAAGATACACCTATGTAGGCTTGAAGGACAACAAAACTCTGAAGAGAAACACTTGGTTTGATTCAAAGGTGTTTCAGACCACTTCAGTTATATTACAGTATTGCTTTGATGGTGAAACTTTTTCATCAACCAGCCTCTGAATTTTTTAGTGCAACTGCTGACCATGTGAATTAAAATGATTTTAAGGTATGCCAGCTGCATGTGAAAGAACTTGACGGATAGGTGAACAGAAATGTGTTGCCTCCTGGATTCTACAATCAAAATAGGCACTGGAGAACCAAAATAGCCAGGATTCAGTCTCTCAAACACTTTAATGCTGATGTAAGTTATTCAAGTGATACACAAAATTGCAAGGAGTTGTAGCACTGAATGTAGTTTGGTATTATGATCTCTAAAAGTTGGTCTTTGTGACAGATGACTTTAAAACAGAGCACATAACCCTCTTTCCTGACATCATCAGGAGGTTACTAGATTTTACTGAAAAGCTTTTAAGATTTTAATTTGTCTGTAGTCTTCTAGTAACTTTCCTGCATACTATTCTGTGCAAAGAATATAATACGGAATAAACCAACAGTTTAGCATAAGAAAAAACCAGCAAGTAAAATCATTGAAAAGCCTGTGCTTTGGATTACAGCCCCAACTGCACTGGGGAAAAAAAAAAACCACAACAGCCACAAAATGTAACATAATCCCACGAAGGTAAAGAAACACAAAGCAAAGCATCATGTAAAAATCAAAGGTAAAAATACACATGTTCTATGAAAACACCAGCAATATATATTATGATCCATTTATTTATGAAATAATTTGCTTCCCATCTGGGCACCTTGGTTGAGTCACCAAACCACTGGTTTTGTTCAAACGCCTTTAAGCAAACACAGTACCTTAAGGAAGGTGTATACTGAAACATGAGACCACGTAACGCCTCTGCCCCATCTGCATAAAAAAAACTGATGAGTTTTATTTCTTTATAGTTATTTGCAGGGCTTATGGAAATATGTCTTAATTCTATCCCTTGATCACACAGACCTGTTTGCTTCCATCTTGTGAACGCCCTGTTGTCCTCTTGGATGGGATTCTGTCACTCGCTGAGCCAAGTGCTGCGCATCGCTGGCTGTTAAGATCTTATTAGTGGCTGCTCATCCCAGGGCAAAAACCTGCTGATGCAACTCCCTTTTTTTTTTTGCCCTCTTCCAAAAGGGCAACTTCTCAGAATCCATTTCTTTTTCACCTGCGTGTATTACAACGATCAAACGAGCAGAGCTGGCAGCGAACGTCGGATTCCCCTGAAGCCAGCACAGACTCTGGCTGGCTCTTCTCCCGCTGGAGTCTCGAGTGAGGGAAAAGAGGAGGAAAAGGTGAACATTTTTCACAAAAAATAGCGTTTTGGGGGATAATGAAAGAACTTGGTGCAGAAAGGTCGTGGTTTTACACAAGAAAGGAAAAAAAAAATACTTTGGGTTCAAACGACAATTAGAAGGGGCTAAGGCCCAGCGCTCACTGCGGTTTTCCC